GCGGGAAAAGGGGGACGGGTGGGACACAGGGTTTGACAAAGAAATAGATATTTGTTTCTCGGCGGATATTTCTCCTCGGCTATTTCGACCGCTCCTAACACTATTTCGATCCTTTTTTCCAGCTTAGAAAGAATAATATATTTTTACGAATGGGAAAAGCATAACCCTTTCTTTCACTTATACCCTATGGGTAAAGTATACAAAGAGCTACACTATGTCCACCCCATTAGTTTTCATCTATTCAGTTTAGTTCTTTAGTGTCCCTCGAAACCTATTGCAAACATAATAGTGTTACAGCTCTTTTTATTGTGCACGTAGTGGCTCTTAAAAGAGCCTTTGTGTTCGTTAAAATACTTCAAAAGAGATGGTAGCGTTCTGACAAAAGCTTATGCGCGCTCTCCGCGGATGCGGCGGGCCAGCTGGATGTCCTTGGGCATGATGGTGACGCGCTTGGCGTGGATGGCGCACAGGTTGGTGTCCTCGAAGAGCCCCACCAGGTAAGCCTCGCTGGCCTCCTGCAGCGCCATGACGGCCGAGCTCTGGAAGCGCAGGTCCGTCTTGAAGTCCTGCGCGATCTCGCGCACCAGGCGCTGGAAGGGCAGCTTGCGGATCAGCAGCTCCGTGGACTTCTGGTAGCGCCGGATCTCGCGCAGCGCCACCGTGCCGGGCCGGTAGCGATGCGGCTTCTTGACGCCGCCCGTGGCCGGCGCGCTCTTGCGGGCAGCCTTGGTAGCCAGCTGCTTGCGGGGCGCCTTCCCGCCCGTCGACTTACGCGCTGTCTGCTTCGTGCGCGCCATCGCTCCTCAGAAAAGCTCTCAGATAGGCACTACCAACAGCAGTAATAACTTGCTTGTGTTCGGGGAGTATTTATAGCACCGGTGCCTTCTCTGATAGGCTGACGGATACGGACTCCGTTTCATTGGTGGATTCAAATTTTAAAGTTCCCGCCCTTGTGAGATCCCGCTTACCCTTTTCAACCTTGCTTCTGACTGAATGCTTGGTGTTCTTGTATAAAACCATCACGTATATTGTAATTGCTTGCGGAACCGCTAAGACTTAGGCTTGTTATTATCTGACAAAATTTAAAATCACTGCTAAACCACGTAAAGCTTAAAGCTTTTTTACATTATGGAAGCTTATAATTGCATCTACCTTAATAGCTCACTTTATCACTTCTTAAGTGTGAAAATTTTGCTATTATTCTACAGGATATATTTGTTTATGGATAGCAAGGACAAATATTTCCTGGAAAGTATTTATATTTTAGTTTAGATACGTTGAACTACCAGAGAAATTTTTTAAGCGTAACGAGAAAAAAATCGTATTTGAAAATTTCTACTTAAGATACAAAATTAAAAAGGGATATTAAGTAAAGTAACATGAGCCCAAGAATGAAAACCCTTTAGAGCTGTTGGGTATTATTGACAGGTCACTGATCTGTAAACTTTTTCAAGTCGTTGTGGAACAAAGGGGTATGGCTAGGAGTAAAATCTTGTAACCAAAGGTTTAGATGCATTTTAGGTTTTAAGTGAAGAACACCTGTTTAAATAACGTCCCGCTAAAAACATGGGAGGGAACTGCTGGCTTGTCAGTCCCTGTGTCCCACCCGTCCCCCTTTTCCCGCACAGACAACTCCCGGCTGTTTCCTCCTCTATTTCCTCGGCTCGGCCGTGGCGATCCGCACTGTGCAGCCCGGCGGCCTTTAAAAACATAATAAAACACAGGAGAGAGCAAACACGGTGCGGGACGGGGCATCGCGGCCCCGCCGGTCCGGGCAGCAGCGGCAGCGGCCGGGGCGGCGGCTGCGGGGGGGCGACCGGGCCTGGTGGGCGGGGCCGGGAGCCGAGGCGCGGCCGTCCCTGCCCGTCATTGGCCGCGGGGAGAGCGCGGGCGGAGCCTCTCGGCGCTGCGCCCCTCGCGATTGGTCAGCGTGAGATTCGCTGCGCCATTGGGCCGCGCGTGCCCAGATGGGCGCCTCGGCCTATCAGGAGGCGGTGTCGGCGCGAAGGGAGGGGATATAAGGGCGGAGGGCTGAGGGCGGTCACTGAGCGGCGTGCAGTTTGTGTTTCGAGCGAGCGAGTGAGGCGAGATGTCCGGGCGCGGGAAGCAGGGCGGGAAGGCGCGCGCCAAGGCCAAGTCGCGCTCGTCGCGGGCCGGGCTGCAGTTCCCCGTGGGCCGCGTGCACCGGCTGCTGCGCAAGGGCAACTACGCGGAGCGCGTGGGCGCCGGCGCCCCGGTGTACCTGGCGGCCGTGCTGGAGTACCTGACGGCCGAGATCCTGGAGCTGGCGGGCAACGCGGCCCGCGACAACAAGAAGACGCGCATCATCCCCCGCCACCTGCAGCTCGCCATCCGCAACGACGAGGAGCTCAACAAGCTGCTGGGCAAGGTGACCATCGCGCAGGGCGGCGTGCTGCCCAACATCCAGGCCGTGCTGCTGCCCAAGAAGACTGAGAGTCACAAGGCCAAGAGCAAGTAAAGCAGGCGGGGGAAGCGTCCCGTGCCCAGAAGCGAAACCCAAAGGCTCTTTTCAGAGCCACCCACGACCTCGAGAAAGAGCTTGAGACGCTACAGAGCTGGTGCCGGGCGGTGGGGTGGGGAGGGGAAAGGCCCCCGTGTTTGTCTTGGGGAGCTTGTGTGGTTTGGTGTGTGGTTGCTGTGGGCAACCCGAGCCGGTTCTGCTGGGCTCCGTTACCGTCCTGGGCCAGGATCAGTGGGAGCGCTCTGTTCCCGGCGCTTGGGAGCTGCTGTGGAAGGAGCCGAGCGCGGGAGGAGGAGAGCGGGGACCCTCCCGGAGCCATTCGTGGCCTGCGCGGGCTTTTGGGAACCTCGCGGTGCTGAACCCACCCTACGCCGCTCCCTCCCTCCCCGCCCCCCCTCACTTCCCTGGTCAGTTTGCGCTGCCCCGGCCACGCGCGAGGGAATGTGTGGAGCCTCCTCCACAGCTTTGCTTATGGGATCCTCGGTTCTTTTCAGACAGGGGCGAGAAATAGAGAAAACGATAATGCGGAGCATTATTGGTGTGTAAGTTTCCCTGAATTTTGGCATGGGCTGGATAGCTTAATCGTTGGCCCTGTGCGGGGTTTTTCCCTCTCCAAAAGGGCGCTGAGGAACAGCAGCCCGACCTGCCCGAAACAGCAGTTAGGACTACTGCACTAAGGGAGAGAGAATCAGGAACGAAACTACCAGTAACAGAATCTAGAAACACAGCAATTGAGCTCTTTTAAAAGAGTAAGTGGGTGGCTCTTAAAAGAGCCTTTGGGTTCTTGTCGAGATGGTCCAGTACGAGCACAAGGCTTTAGCCGCCGAAGCCGTACAGAGTGCGGCCCTGGCGCTTGAGGGCGTACACCACGTCCATGGCGGTGACCGTCTTCCTCTTGGCGTGCTCCGTGTAGGTGACGGCGTCGCGGATCACGTTCTCCAGGAACACCTTGAGCACGCCGCGCGTCTCCTCGTAGATGAGCCCCGAGATGCGCTTGACGCCGCCGCGCCGAGCCAGGCGGCGGATGGCCGGCTTGGTGATGCCCTGGATGTTGTCACGCAGCACTTTGCGGTGCCGCTTGGCGCCTCCTTTGCCGAGCCCCTTGCCGCCCTTGCCTCGACCGGACATGATGGAACCGCTGCTGCTGCTGCCGCTGCCGCTCTGAGCCAGCGGCGCTCCCGCCGCCGCCTTTATGCGCTGCGGTCCGACCTGGTTGGGAGCAGGGGCGGGCTCGGCGGGCGGGGGCCGGGCCTGCGCCTCCGCCCCTTTCGCCGCTCACCGCCTCCTCCCCGGGCCCCGCCGCCGGCTCCGCTCCCGCCTCCGCCTCTGCCCCACCGGCCTCGCTCGCTCTTCCGCAGCCTCTCGGTTTCCCTAAAACGCTTTTCCCTGCTCGCTCCCTCCCCTGTGGTCGCGGTGGGAATGTAGAAACACATTTTTTTCCCTGATCGGGCGGCAGTGTCCTTGCGCAGGGCCCTGGATGTCTTTCGGGCGCCGCGCACGGTTGTTACGGCCGTGCTGACCATAGATTGTTACTTCTGAGGTTCCATTTAGGCATTCCATATAATGAGGACCATCTGATAAACGTAAGGTTTCTTTGGTTAGTTTCACGACCTTAGGGTCGTATTTATCTTCTATACCATGAACCGTGAGGAAAACTATTCCCAAGTGCTCACCTCAGATCAAAAGGAAACGTTTGTTTTCCTTAAACCTGGCTACATCTGACTCTAAGAGTATTGTATCATTGGGAAATTTGCACAGGAATGTTTCAGCAATGAACTGAAGACCCTTTATTTTCTATCCTACTGTTTCCAGTGTTTGCTTCCCATTCACCCTTTATTTTCTGTCTCTAGTGCTTGCTTCATGTTAAATTCTGGACATCGAGCTGATATACAAAAACCATTACATTTGCATCAGATAATTATTTCTAACTGGATTAAAATTATTAACATATACCACATGCACAACAAAAATGTCTGTGCCAGCTGTGTTCATGTGTAACCCCATGTTTTCAACATCTTGTCACAATCCTGAAGGGATACTTTTTCTTTCATGTAATATGTTTTCTTTTCACTAGTGTGTGTTGCAAGTGATGACATTTCTCTTTGTTATGGTGGTATAAGTTCATGACTCTGAAAATCAGTCATTATGGCTTTTCCATCTATGCCTCATTTCTGTTGGCTATGCCTGCAGTCCTCCATTTGTAGTTCAGGACCTACTGTGTCTAGGAAATTAACATAATTCCAATATGGAGAATTTGCTGTGCTCATCATGGCCAAATACACACATCATTACTCACAGAGAGAGAGGAAAGTCCTTGAAGGTGAAGGGCTCTGAAAGATCTCTGTGAACTCTGGCAACCCTTTTTCTCATTGACTGGCATTTTTTTCTGCCTTAATCACAGTGACTCCAGGTTACAGGTTAAGTCTGAAAAAATGATGGGGTCAAAAAATAGAATGGTGAAATTGAAATAATTGTTTCACTGAATCTTTAAGCTCAGATATTATATATAAGAATGTCTTAGCCTAGCCCTGAAGACCTATGAGGTTTTTTTATCTCATCATTTATAAAACTTGCCATTCCCTCTGTTCCACGTGTATTACCTTCATCTCTGCAGGGAAGAGTACTGAGTTCACTGTCTTTGCTGTGGGCAGTTTGTTCCATTTCATGCATGTTTTCCAGCAGCATTTTACAGGCACATACTGAAGACAGCTAACCACATATTACTGGAATTCTCCACTATGACAGGGATACAGCCCATGTAGCCCGTGTCCATCACTCATTTGTCCATCTACTACTCCCACTCACCTATTCCTCAAGATTTTGATTTGTAATGCTAAAGCAAATTCAAAAACATGAAAAATGTTTTGTCTTGGGAAAGCAACTGCTACACAAAGAAGAAAAATCCATTTGCAGCTCCCGATTTCATCCCTGTCCTACAACATCCCCTCTGACTCAACAAGTCTCTGGCCTATAAAGTACTAAAATCTAGAGGACCACTTTGATGAGATTATCAGCTATTATTCTTACCCTCTTTATTTACTAGCCTCTGTCACAGGTATGATATTGGTCCAAAAAGAACTTTCCTGTTAATTACTAATTTCTTCAAGTGTTATAATTATGTCTCCAGCATGCAATTCAAAGAGAACAGAATCTCAAGGCTCATGTCCTGCTCATAACACCCCTTAGTTTCTCCCCACTCTGGATCTCTGCTTATATTACTAACTTAAGAAAGTTCTGCTACTACACTGTATATTTTTCTGACCTCTCACAGGCTTATAGCTTTCTTTGTAGCTTCTACTGGTCCAAATACTAACCTAATAAAGCTTATGTGTCCCTTTAGTTGGAAAGGACCATAAGTGGATGACTCTGCTAACCAAGGGGAAGGTAAAAACAAAACCAAAACCAACCCAAAAGACCCAAACAAAACCATAAACTAAAGCTAAGACTATTTACCATGAAGGGAAATTAAGCACATGTGGTAAAATGAAAATAATATAAATCTAATCTCAAACAGACTTGAAGATAAAGAACCTGTTTTTTTCATTAGTGTTAAGTACAAACAAAAATTCCTGTCTTCATCCACTGATGTGGCTGACAGTGATAACCCTTGAAAGCCTTGCTATGTACTCAAGCATGCCAAGACCTGTTTTCTTCCAAAGAATTAATAAAACAAGAATAGATTTCAATTTTTCTTCCACTTAGGTTTTCCTTCTATTTCTTTTTTTTTCTTTCTTCCTTTATTTTTATCCAAGTGATTTTTTTTTTATTAAAAAGACCATGCCTTAGATTTGGACTATTAACATTAGAACTACTCAAATGTTCCCTTTATTGATCACCAGCTCTTTCTCAACAGCTTCGAGCAATTTCAGCTATTAAGTTTCCTTGCACATGTCTCACTGCAGTTTGAGCAAATCCAAACCCCAGCAGGTTTCTCTTTACTTACCACCTCTATACAGCTGGATGTCTGCTGATCCCTGCTCCTAGCTGCTCAGTGCTGGCCTTCTGTGCTAGTCTTGTTAACTATGCAATTAAATGTCAGATGTTGCAAACTATTAACCTAAACAGCATACAAAAGTTAAAGCTGTTACTTTATTCCCTATTTCAAAATCAAATCAACAAAATCTTTATGGCATTTTCAGTTCCAAAGCAGGAAAATATGTGTGCCAGAAAGAACAAGGTTTAGTTTAAATACATTCATTATGGAAGCAAATCTTTTCTGGGACCAAGCCAATTTGCAGGCAAAATAGATGAAGTATATTCTTCCTGAATGTGCCCAAACCATATATATATATATATATATATAGTCTCACAAGCCTGTGAAGCCAGATGCCTGACTTCTTCACTGTATGACAGCAGAAGTGACAAGTTACTGACCTCATTAATATATTGCCAGGAAAATCAGGGAGCAGCCAGCACTTCCAGTGTCCCTGGCAATCCAGAGAACATATTGACCTGAGGCAGAGCTACTCTGGCAACAGACCATGGACTGTAGAAGCATGAACTACAGCACAACACACGGTGAACAACTCTTCAAAACCTTTCTCTTCCCTTCTATGGGAAAACAGCCTATACAGTGAGCTCCCAAATGCTAACATGCAATACTCCTGCTCTAAAAAGATGGCACAAACAGCCTTGTCTAGAGCCAGTGCCTGCTTCAGCTTTACACCTCTGACAAATAACAGGAAGGCAGCACCACTTAAGGAGAGCACCTTCGTGTGGTGTGTTCCACAGCGCTCTGGCTCTTAGCCTCCAATGTGCCTACTGTCAGTGCCTGTGAGGCCAAAAAATGAGTTGCCTGCCAACCCAAATTTACCTGGAAGGGTGTCACATCAGCGTCTGAGGTGTCAACAGCCAGGAAGAGAGCAGACTGCAGACCAGCTGTGCATGCACAATGCGTCCAAGGACGCTTTGTCCCTCCATCGGCTCCAAACACGTTTCTGGCTGGAGTGGGAAGTGACATTTAGATTCATCACATTGCTCCCTCCCGCGTACCAGAAGTCACAGACAGCACTGCCACACAAGCAGGAAAGTGTGGAGGGCAGAAAATACACAGAAGTGCTGCAGTGTTGAGGGGAGGAAGAGTGAGCTGCTCAGCATCACTCCATGTGATCTGCTCACCAGTCGGAGCAGCCAGGATTCTGTGCTGATGGAGAGGATGCTATGAAAAGACAGCGTGGTGTCCCCTTTCCTTGGTGGACTTCACTACTAAATGCAGGCCAAAGCTAGGCACTCTTAATTCAGGAGGAGACAATTTCTTCAGGGAGTCATAGCTGCTGCAGCTTCTGTTAATTTTGCTCACTGTTCAGGGACAGTTTGTCTAAGGGCCTGAGGTGTCCTCAATCTCCTGTTGATGAAAACATTCAAACAATGCCAGGGTGGTCCAGCACACAATTTTCCAAGTAGCTTGGATTAGTTTTAGAAGATCAAATTACTCTGAGATAGAAATAATTATATTCTTTGATATTTGACTGTGGACCTTTTAATTGTGTGTGAAAAAAGTAAAAAATGCATTAAGCTAATAAACACACACAGAGTAAAGAACAAAGTCCGTATGTTTTTCATCATTAGCTGCTCTCAGAAAGGTTTTGGCCCCCTGCATTTTTGCTGACTATATTTTTTTTTGCTTTCCCAGGAAGGATTTCCTTCCCAGTGCCTCCTAACTAGATCCAGGTTTCAGACTATAGATTTTCAATTGCCAAATTACATGCCAAGGCAATGAAGAAGGGAGGATACAACAACCCTTAACCAAGGGTATGGGGAGGAGTGTACAACATTCCAGGAAGCTGAGTCTGGGGACAGTCATCTCTTGCCCTGCCCTATTTGTTCTGCTCCCTATAGATGCTCACCCATACCCTGAATTTAAAAGGCTTTATATGACCTCATGATACTTAGGGGCCCTAGAAGCAGTAGCAGCAGACACATTAGTATTATGTAGGCAGAAGCTTGTTCTGCTGAGCTGCAACAAGTTTGTAGTTTGGTAGGTCTCACTTTAAAATTCCTTAGCTAAGTGTTAAAAGTTGCTAAACTGTGCTGGCTGGTTGGATCACACAAGTGTTATTACATTTGAAACTCAGATGAAAGATGATGTCACTGAGGGCAAGTAAGGCATGGGTGTAACACTGTAATAGGAGTATAATCACGGT